ATAATGTTGCCTTCCTGTGTGTTTAGCAGTCTGGGAAGCAAGAGGAAAAACTCATTTTGAACTAAGCTGAAAAAGAAACAGTTTAGGAAATATCCATACACTGGGCAAGTCTGCAACAAGCACATTCTAGCCTTGTCTTGTTATCTTTGTTTTCCTCCAGACCTTATCATCGCTAAGGAATTTAATCGCAAAAATGACAAGTAGCTGAAAGCATGAATCAGGCTGGCACTGTAGGAAAAACACCTACCTACACAACCCTGGCAAATACAAATATAACAAGTCCCCCAGAGTCTCAGTGCAGCTACAGGCTGCATGAGCTTGCTTGCACTGAAATTTCCACCTTTGGATGGGTTGCAGCATCCTGGAAGATTCATATCACCCAGCGTCCAAAGGCTCCACTATTTTTCATGAAAAATTTAGACACAAGCTCATTCCCAGCTTTTGAATTTTCAGATAATTAAGATTATTCACTAGTGGATATGACAACAAACCCTCACGCAGAACTCCAGCCTAGGAAATCCAGGAGCTAAGCAACACACTGGTGCCCATCCCTGCACAAACACCAGAGCAGGGGAAAGGCTGAACACATGCCCAAGCACACACACACAGACATCTGCCCTCTTGCTTGCTGTTGATGAGAAATTTGGCCCTCCTCTGCCTTTTTCTTTTCTTTAAAGCTCTCATAAGGATCTAACTCCTGCAACAAGGCATCAAACATCAATAGCATGAGCCTCACCATACCTCTCCAGGTGAAGCTAAGAGGATGCCAATGAAGAGAGCCTAGGGAACGCTGCTCTGCTCTCTCCTCGGAGCCAGCATCTCTTAGGAAAGACTCTGCTTGCAGGACTGTGGCAAACTACCTACAAAAACCCCTTCTTCACATTATTAGATGCTCACATTTCCCTGAATTTTCTCCGTTGAACCACAGCAGAGAGCCCTAATAAGGGAAAACTTTTCCCTCTGAGCCTTAACAGACCAAGTATAGAGATATTTGTCTGCGCTCATTAAAAACATGGAATGTTTAATCTAATTGCTACTGCTTTTCAGGCTGCTTCAACAACACAACTTATTACATTACACTTCAGATATGTGCTTTGAGGAGATTTAATTCTTATCTTTAGATGTGCTGATAGCACAAAGAAGCCTGGCTGATTTACTGAGCAGCACTGTGCCTTTGATAATAGTATTTGCCTTAGCTTCTTCTGTGATTAGAAAATTTGCACAGGCACAAAGCCTAGGTCATTAAATTGAAGGACTTAATTTCTGACTTTGCTTACTGCATGAAGTGCCAAGCTTTGTACTGTTCTCCAGCACCTGAAAGGAGGCACTTACTTGCAACCAAATAATGTTTTCCATCCTCTCCTCCTGCCTTACCAGCCTCTCCCCTCTCTCATAACAAGCCTGATGCTCTCTGTGGGCCTTTGTGCTTCAGGACAGTAATTTCGAGGAAATCCCTTAACTCAGTCACACAGATAATTCTCATACTTCTGCGAGGTAGGAAAAAAAGCAACCCAGGAAAACATACAAACAGGTCTGAGAGGGCAGAAACTGCTCCAACAAAAAGATGAAGCCCAAGGAGGCAAGGTCTGAGGTCTCCATTTGTGAAGGTTTCATGCACGCTTTATGCCTGATGAGCACAATCCTCAGCAGATCTGGACTGGTTCTGGAGCACATTTCATTCCTGGTCATTAAAATTCCAGCCAGCGCTTTCCTTCTGTTCATTTGCCAAAACATTCAGAAGTTACTTGCCCTGCATTACTTCCTTCCAGAAGCATCAATACTCATCTGCCTTCTCATCCTCACAGGGAAACTCCCAGTCATTAGACAGACAGCTCTATCTATAGCTTAAAAAGGCATTTCTGCTGAGACAGCGATGTTCTCCAGCAGCCTGAAAACACAGCCTGCAGGTCTCCACCACGGCGTTATATTTGCCCATCAGTGACACAATCACCCTGACAAATGCAAACAAGAACACGTCTCATTGGAAGGGAAGCTGGCATGCGTCAAACTGCTCATTTGCAGCCCATGGCAGCACATGGAGACACAATGATTTTGTTTGGTTCAGCTACATATTTTGATGGAAATTAGGAAACAGAAGAATCACTCTAAATGTGGTTTGAATCAGTTACAAGGAAGGTATACGTACTGCAGCAACCCTGCCCATGACAGAAAGGAAAAGATCTGCTTGGTGGCTGGGCTCTTGCTGGTATCCTACTCTGCTGAGTAAATCCACCCAAGCGGTGCCTCTGAACTCACTGGACAAGACTTGCAGCTCACAGAAAGCAGCACTGCCAATTTTGGCTGAGTCATGCGAATTCATCCCAACCAGCTCCTGCCCACCCCAGGAATCCGGATGTTCCAGTCTTTTAATAGATGTCTGAACTGGCATGACTTCTACTGAGTCTTTCCACAGTCTTTCCTCTCTTCAGAGGCAAGGAAAGTGTTAACTGTGCAAGTATTCAACACCAGCGCTATGCCTGACCTCCACAGAAATCCAAATCCTGGTACACATCTCCCTGTCAAATTCCTTATTTCCCCTCTGACCTTCCTTTAGCCAGCATACAGTAAATCATTCCAGAGGCAGGAGGGCTGCGTGCCTGCAAAGGCAGCATCCTGGACATACTTATCCATCATTTTACCATGACAAGACTAAAAATAGTTTAATTGTTCACTCAGGTTATGACTGAAATCATTAACCCTAGAATATCGCTAATAAAGTTCATCAAACATTTTTTAGTTTGCACAACATGTTCTGCGCAGATGTTAATATGTTAAAAGCTCATTTTTTGGCAGATTATTCGGTATTTTGGATTAAAGAAAAGAACAAACAAAACAAAGCCGCTTGAGGCAGGTGAAAGTCTCCTCTGGTTTTCTAACTCTCATTACTCTGGGCTCCACAATCTGAGATTTCTTCCATTCCAGAGATGATTGGAATACAATGTTTAATGAAGGTCACAAATGGAACTGCTTAGGCAGGCACTTGTTTTCCTTCAAACTCCTAAATCCTCTTTTTCACCTCAATTCCTTTGCCCTGCTGTAGGAATCTCATTTCTCTGTGTTTTTGTGTGCAGTCTTTTTCACTATTGCGATTGCATCACACTTAAGCCTCACATTAGCTAGCATCCAACATACTTGAGGTGTACACAGAGCAGCCACGCATTTCCTTCCCAATTATTTCTCAGCAAGATACTCGAAATGAAGTAGCATTGTGGTTTTCTTTTGTTACAGTATATTCCTTCTTTACAGTTCTTCAAAGCGCATACCTTGCCAACTGTTTCTGGATCATACAAGTCTACAAACCTTTGCCCCGTTCAAATAACTGGCTTCACACAAGACAAAGAGAACCGCAACCACATTGTGGTTTTCAGTAGTAAAATGTAGTTAAGTCATTACTTGAACAAGAGCTAAACTTCAAGCTGAGTTTTACCAAAGACCTAGGGCTGCCTTCAAATTTGAATCTGTGCTTGAAGACGATGGGCCAAAGCTTTGGCAGGTATTAATTAGCAGTGATAGAGTAACCACCAGTAACCCAGCATAAGGCTTAGTGTGGCAGTTGCAAAGAAACAGCTAATCATTTCAAGACAGATAATAATTGCAAAGCTCAGCGTGCCTGTGACTAATTCGTTTTCCTCTTCCTTAAAGTGCACAAAGATATATTCATACAGAAAAAAATTGATTTAATTCTCATAATTCCTCTGTGACAGGAGTGTCCAAACACTGATCCTCCAGTGACTTGGTCATGGTCCTACAGCTACTACATCTTTCAATCAAGAGGATCAGGTACCTGGCCCTCGCTATGATGGGTATATGTATGGAGGAACCATCACCCTTCTCAGCTACACTCCCCCCGGGGCTTCATAATGGGCACTAAGGACAGCATTTTCCCAAAAATTTCTTCAGCCTCGAAGTTCAGGGGAACCAAATAGAGAGCAAGCTTTTGCCAGAACTATCCTAAGCTAAAACCACAGCAGCGACTGGAGGAGTGGTGAAAGGGTGCGGGGTTTGGTGGGTAACACTGCATGGACTTGGGAACCCGCCAGATTTACCAGCACTACGTGCTGCCTCACGTCCTCGGTGCCTCTGGCTTCTTTCACGTCAGCTATCTAAAACCTGCTTTGCAAATCTGAGCCTGTGCGTGGCCGGGCTGTGTGCAATCACCGAAGATCTCATTCGCATACCTCTATTCTTTCACTGTGTTCTGTTTTTATCAATACCTGAGGAGTCACATAAACTGCAGAACCCAAGGCGCTGGCCCTTTTTTTTTGTGGTCCTCACCTCTTGCTGCATCTCATCTGTGCAAGCCATGGAAGTGTCTGTCACAGCTAAATGGATGGGACTGTGGAAACCTCTCCTAACAGTTGTACCAGTGCAAAGGAGAAGTAACTTCACTAACAGAAGAACAGTACTTAACTCATAAATGAAATTATGCAAAATGAAACAGAATCCAAGGAAAAAAAGTAGTATCTAAAATGGATATACCCTTCTTTTATATAACGCTAGAAGACAACATGGGAAATAAACACAGCACAGCCTACAATTTTGCTGTACTAAGTTCTAACATTTTAAAACTTTATGTAAAAAGAAACAGTGACTGCAGAGCTGTTTGGATTCCAGAAGATGCAAAGCTCTGTGCATATTCTGATGTATCTCCACACTTTATATATATGGGAGATAAATTATGTGTGCAGCAACTAGTACAAACAAACGAACAAGAGCCAGAGCTCTTCTGGAGGGATTTCAGGGACAGCAGGCCAGGACTTACTTGGATTCTGTTTCAAAACTTTATGGAAAGAGAAACATCTCTTCACACCAAAAAAGCTGGAATAAAGTGAATGCAGAGGCATCTCTCTGCATCAGCTAGTGCTGGCTATTAACACCTTGCTTCCACGCTCGCAGAAACTGCTGTGACATTTGAAAGTTCACGTGTGAATAACCTGGGAAATTGTTAAGGCTCCAGACCTTCTGGAAACAGAACATTTTCTAACAACACAGGGCAGTACCTGTTGAAGTTGATAGGGTACAGGATAATATCCTCAGGTGCTCTGCTGTCCCACTGGATGATATAAGCCTGCTCAAGCATGACAACGGGCTGGTACTGCTGGTACAGTGCTCCTCTGTTCACACCTTGCAGCCGCAGGGGATGGGAATGGTATGCTGCTCTGGCAATGGATAAGGTCAGATTCTCGGGGTGTCTGGCCTGAATATAAAGCTGAGGGTGAAAGGAAAACGACAAACATATTCATTAAACCAGCCAGGCACAGCCGTAACATATGCATTTGATCATCATTGCTTGTAAATAGTTTTTGCCAATGAAGAGCTCAGAACATTCGGAAAGTCACTGAAACATTTCCAGTTCAAATAAAAGGTAAAACAGAAATAGCATCTGCAGCCACTCACAGGGACACCAAGAAGTGAGATATGAATTGTACAGCTCCGTAAAAATGTTCACTATTCAAAATCTTAAGGGACAAAGGTAATCAAGGAAATATCGCAAAGTAGCTCTTTTTTATGACTTCAAATAACTGCACTTTAAAAACAGGCTTATCCCATTGAAAATACAGAAAACTCTCAAGTTATTTCAATGGGGTTTGGATTATGTCCAGTTATTTAAAGGAATCCACATCTTTGCTCTCAAGTAGCAGGCTAGGCTGAAATTTTGGGGGCTAAAACTCGATGGTCTGAGTGACCATATAGATTAAATGCCACGTGCCCCAGGCTTCAACAGAGAGCTCCTCTGTGCAGGGACCAACAGATGCCCTGGGCCTGTAGCTCAAGTCTAAGGATTAACTACAAAACCATGCTCCAGCTGTGTGCTTTTTAGTCCTGCCGTGACTCAAATGAAGCCAATTCATGCATCAAGCATTAGTTTCAAGGCTGATTGCATGATGTTCAGCTGCTTCCCTCCACGTGAAATTCCATCGCAAAAGGAAGATGCACAGCCAGTCATACAAATCTGTCTCAGCACGCAGGGCTGCAGCAGACAGCTTGTCATATTCCCTGAAGGGTTTCAAACGCACTGAGGACAGGTGAGGGTACCTATAATCCTGCTTCCTTCACTCTCCTACAGTGTAGAATAGTGCTCTTTGCATCAAGAGCATCCAACATAAAAATCTATGTTAGCTCAAAAATGTTTAAGCTTCCAACCAGTAAAATTATTATCCAGCAATATTATTAGGAGCATCCACCCAGAAAAACTATTTTTAAACTCAGTTTCTGTCTTTGAGATAGACCAAAATGTAGGCAGTAGTCTCTTAACTGCAGACACACATACAAGCACAGCCCAGACTAGTAGCAAGGTGAGACTCCATCTACCAGGAAATCTGCCTTCTAATGAAGGGCTATGAGACCTTGGCCTCTCAAATCTCTGTATCCACTTCTCTTCCTCTTGTCTATGCAGATTGAAAGCACAGTCTGCAAAGCCAGACTATTTCTTACTGGTTTTTATAGGGGCTTATTTCAGTTGTGGTTTCCAGCCAGTTCAGCTCCTAGTTTCACGCGCAGAAGAACTTTGCTCTTGGTGTTGAGTTTTTGTTCCTCAGGACCTCCACAAGACAGGTCATCTCTGCTTAACCCTCACCTCACCCCTGAATTCAGTAGCCTTCTGCTGAATGCTCAAGCTAAAAATGCATGTCTCATGTCAAAGAAGTAAGCCAAAAGTGGTTGTAAATGTTTCTTGGATATTCAGTCCATTCCTCCTTTCATATCACTGCACTTCAATGATGAGAACATATCCTGAGTGGCATCTGCAGACCCTTGAAGATTAAAGTGAATCCTCAAATTGCATTGAGCAGAAACCTTTCCTCATGGCTGAAAGTATTGATCAAGTAATTCACTCCCAACAATCTCTGAGCAGCAGCCAGTTTGCTTATTCCTGACGTATAAAGGAAGAATAAATTATTTTTTCAGTCTGATAGAAGACCTTTTTTATCTATGAAACCAAGGAGGAAAACTTATTTTCCCTTCACATTCAAACCGTGATTGGAAAGTCAGCAACATGCACTGCAACAAACCACATTTCAGTCTCCTTTGTCCCTACCCCAATGGGGAAGCCCTGAGGTCAGAGCAGGTGAGTAAAGGTCCCTTTAGACCTAAAATCTCATCAACATATTAATCGTTCTCAATCAAAACAACATTTGCTGACAAAGCACAATTGGAACGAACTCTGATACTGCAAAATAATAGCACACTTGTGTCTTTCTGGATAAGAAGCAAGAGTTTCTGCCCTGTTACTGTAAACTTTGACCTTATTGCCTTCTAATAGGTCTCTCCAACCAGCACAGAACGTCAAGGTGGTAGCTGCTCTGCACTTACTACAAAATCAAATGCACCAATGATAAAATAAGCTAAGAAAGGAAGGAAATACATTAAATGAGCTCTCAAAGTTCCTAACTTACTATGAAGAACTACAACCCTATATACTTTAAGGTATTTATGTCAAAAGAGAAAAAAAGAGAAAAAGAGTGCTATGCACGGCCTACACGCACTCCAACATTTATCACTTTTCTTACTTGTATCTACATCTGCAGGGGCAAAACACTTGTGAATGGGAGCGAAAGAGAGAGTAACAAGATAAGGTTTTTTCCTAAAATGAAAAATCTATCTTCTTTAGCAAGACCTCCATAATTTTGGTTAGCTCTATCAAAACATATAAGAGAAGAAAGTGGGTCATAAAGATACTTTAAATATGAGAAGTGGTGACAGCTTAATGTAGCAGAAGAACAACTAGTTAAAACATCATAAAACATGAGCCTTCTACTTGCCTAGATGGCTTAATGGACATAGTTGTCATTTTAGCTGCTTAACACTTCATGCTAAAAAGATGTGTCAGATTTCCCTGTGCTTACACGGCAATTTTCCCAAGTAGATTGTGAAACTGAGAAGATAAGTTCTTTTGCAATTCATGAGGGATCTGCTATTCAACTGGATAGCAAGTATGAAGATAAGCAACATGCAAAGTACTGGAACCGAAAATCTTGGTTTCTGAGAAAAGGTTTGCTTGCTGTCTAGTTTCTTTAACACTGTTTTTGTCCTGCTGTGCTGTCAGCTGTCAAGCTGAGGTAGAATACCCTAAACATGAGAAGTTTAAAACATACCTTCTCCCCTTGTGTTTCTTTGACTGTTCAGAAAATGCTAATTTCCCAGGACAAAACATTTTCTCTATGAAATTTCCAAGTGAAGATGTTAAAATTCTTCCAGAAAAAAAAAAAAAAAGTCTTTCTTTCTCTAAGGTATGCTAAGATGCTACTGACATTGGCAAAACTACTTTGATTTTCCATTGGTGTACATCAGAGGTCAAAGTGGAGCTCTTTGTCCCAATACAGATACCATTAGCTGACAAATAGCTTGGAGGCTTTTCCTTCTTCCCAGTCTGGGAGGTGTGGACAATCCTCAAGCATCACAAGTACCTTGGGATTGTACAGTTTTACCCGTGGTTAGAAAAGCACTGTTTGCTACCTGCTGCATCTCTTGCTTTACATTTAGAAGCATCAGTTCCAAAACCAGATACCCAGGTGCTGAGTACACACCACCAGTTGAAGATATGGAACTTGGAGACGCAGGATTGGAGCAATTGGAAACATCTACTGCAAGAATAGAGTTTATAGAAGTGGAATAATTTCTATTTCAACCATCTGCAGGAAGGCAGTGACTAAGTGAACTGGTGAAAAATCAACAGCATTTCCTAAAGCATTTTATAATAGCAAGGCATCATTTTTTTTGTTAATTCAAACCTGACACTAATTTAGCTATGTGGCAGTCTCTTATGACTGTCTAACACCTTTTAAAGCTTATAAAAGAAAATAGAACATACTGCCAAAAACTCTGCTTATTTTAATAAAGACTAATACCAAAAAAGAGAAGTTTCACAGCATCTCCTGATGAGTTGCTGTGAAGTCTGCAAAAAAGCAGAAAGAGCACAGCTTCAACCAAGCAGTGGGAGCCAAAGCACTTGTCTTATAAGTTATATAAAAGTCTGGAATGGTTTAGGAGTCTCATTTACATTTCAACAAGTAATGCGGGTGTTGAGGAATCATCAGTTCAGTGTCGTGGAAATCTCATGCACCTACATGAAAAGAACTATGGGGTGAGCTTTTCCCTATATTTTTCTTTTATTACTGGGCTTTGCAAGAGCCGAGAGTCAGGTTGATGGAACACTGAGGACCTCAGCGCCCTGCTGACGGATTGCGAGTGACTCACAGAGATTGCCAGAAGATGTGGTCTTGCCAACTCTTATGATTTTCCTGTGAGTCTCCCTCTATTTAGTGTTCTTCCTCAAAGCCTCATTTTATTTACATTACAACATGAGAGTTCCAGCTGTCATTAAAAAGCAAAGGGGTTGGTCTTGTTTGGACAACACCAGCCCTACAGGCTCCAGAATCAAAAGGGGAGATAAAGAGACCTGATAGTTCTTGCTTGTGTAAACTTTATGATTTTAAGCTGCTCCCAGAACCCTTCCTTAGGAGCAAAAGGCGACACTGGAGCCAAAGCACACGGCATTTCTTAGTGCTTGCTGCTGAAGGAAGGTCTTGGACGCCACATGGGAAGGTGGCATGATGTGTCTTGGAGACAGCAAGAAGGAAGTGCCATGAACCAACCATAGGAAGGTGGGAATGTCAAACTGAGCCGCCAGATTAAAACACCCTCAGGAAAGTCTGTCCCCAGGATTTTGTGGAGCTGGAAATGTCACCAGAGGAGCTGGTTTTCCCGAGGCACTTCCTTTCCTGGGCAAATTACATCCAGGAGAAGAGCAGCATGAAAAGTGAAAGAAATGAAGGAGAACTGAACTAACTAAACTCCAGGCAGGCACTTTGCTCGGAAAGGATTTGGCTGCTATGCTAGCTGAAGAACTTGGACCTCGCTTTTCCACGCCAAGTAGCCCATCCCTAGGCTGACAATCTTGAGCTCAGTTCAGCAGTAATGTAGGAATCACTGTTTCCTTGAACTAAAAGGATATTTTCACCTGCTTGCGCTAGGGAAGAATAAAAGTTCTTCTCTACCAGAGCTACATGAAAAGGAAAAGAAAAACAGATTTTGTAATAGACTTGCTAAGATCAAAGCAAATCATCTTTCTCCATAACTGGATTCACTCTTTTAGGCTTTTGATCTGAAGTATGACACTCCGAATTTAGCAGACAAACAACTCAGCAGTTAGCCAAAGTGCTGAGAATCAGGGTAAAGCTGAAATACTCCAACAATTACACCCTCCAAATTAAACTAAACTCTGCTGCATGGGACCAATTCTTCCTACCCTGTACATACATATATTTCCCTACCCAAAACCTATAAAGTGAAGCATTTAATATGAACTTTACTCATCCTGCTGGATGCTGATTAGTTGAAAAATGCTGGTAACAGATCCCAGAGAAGCAAATGTTTATGCTTGCCTAAACCTAGCCAAAGAAATTTTCTATGGTGGAAAAACTGCCTCACCATGTCGAGTGCCATAACCAGGAAGGTATTAATAGAAATAAAAATATAAATGCCTACTTGTTGACAATTCTGAATTTAACTGTTAGGCTGCCAGAGCAGAGAGGATCATTTCTCTAGAGACACTGAGCAAAATTAAGCGCCAAGGACAAAACCCTAATTGAATGGGAGTGTTTTGTAGGAGTGCAATCCTGTTTCTGCCTATTCAAGAGCAAACCGAGGGCCGCACGTCCAGTGTCTAGACACTTAAATAGCAACTCCTGCTCTCTGCTGTGCAACTAAAGCAAATGCATACAATTTTTTTTTTTTAGCTTAAGGAGACACGCATAATTTGGATTTGACTGTTCAAGTATTGTGTAGGCATAGAGGTCTCAAAGATAACCGCATTCCTAAAAGTTTCATGCAAAAAGTTCCCTGGGGAAAGGGCAGCAGAGTGCTGTGTCTGACTGCGGAAGTGCGAGCCCACATATGGCTACACGTCAGAGAAGCCGTAGAGATAGCACCTTCAGAAATCTCTCAATGTGGAAAATCCAGGAGTCTAGCTTGGTGTGCAGGGCTGTTCTCGGGGTCAGAAGGACATAATGGTCCTTCCAAAAGCCACATCTTGCATGAGGGCTCCCAGTACCCACTCTCCAACCCCAAACCATGTGACGCTGTGTGCGCCATCCACCACACACAGCCTTAAGCTTTGGCTTTTTCAGCCCAAGGAGAGAGGACATTTGGCAAGATGTCCAACTAACTGGAGCTTTAAAATAGGCCCACATACCTTTTTGGTAAATACATTAATGTATTTTAGAAGTGGGGGAGCAAGGAGAGCTGTCTGCTCTTTTACAGGTGACTGCGAAAGCTGTGCTGAGTCATGTATTTACAGCATGCTCTATTCACACACCAAGGTCTTGTTAAAATTTGCGCAACACACAATGAACCACAATCTGATTTTGAGGTCATGTTTTCCCCTCTATTTACAATTTTCCTCTTTTACTGAAAGGTTCCCTGGGATCTGCAGCCCTTTCTACAAAGTTGCTGACGTCTCAGGTAAAGTCTCTAACTCAAGTCTGCTAAAGACAACTGCAACAAAGGTTTAAGACCAGCCTAGCCTAAGACCAACCATCCCTCAGCCACTGATTTCTGGATGAGAAATAAGTGTGAATTTGTCTCAAACACTCATTTCACCACCCTGTCCACAGTGGGATGTACCAGAGAAGTAACACCTTCCATTACTGAAACTTGATTCACCAGACTTATCCACTTAGGGCCCCATGACAGAGTGGGTAAATGCCAGCAAGCAAGAGCTAGAACACACCAAAAGCTTTTCCCAAAATCAATTCCAGCTTCCAGCTTCCTGTGGGCAATAGGAAAGGACAGGGCTCCTCACCACCATAATTTGTAGGCTGCTACACAGGAGGAGCTTTACTGGGTCCTCGGAATTAGGCAGATAAAACTGCGACAGATAAAATTATACCCAAGTTATTATTCACCTCTTATGCTGAGCAGGCTTCACTCCACCACCCCTCAGCAGACTCTCTGAGGATACCCACCCAACACACCTGATGTCGTTGCCTGCAGTCACACCCCGTTACCTGGGCGAATTTCCCGGTACACACTGCCCCGTTCCAGCTTGGGACGGTGACACACCCAGGGTGACGGAGCAAGTAGTTGTCCACTCTGCCTATGAATGTGTCTGGGTACCCTGTCACCGAGCCGTCCAGATCGTGGAAGATCGATGTTTTGTCACCGTCGTTATCGTTGTTTCCAAACCACTGGCCTGGTCTGCCAAAAAACACTTTCAGGCCAACCTGGCAGGAGAAAATAAGAAGAAAAATTACCAATAAGGACTTGGGTTTGCAATGTTTTAACAGCCAAAACAGTGATACAGCTAGAACTAGAAAGCTCTATTGTCTGAGTAAAGAGTTTTGCTTTGCCTCATCTATTTCGAAGATTTCCAATTGTGTTGGTTTCCCCCCTCATTCCTTAATCCCAGGACATATTTTCACAAAAATTACACTTTTGGTTGTTTGAAACATACGCACACAACCATGTGTTACTTGAAATCACACAACAATAAATTGTGTGGTAGCAAAGGGCAGAGGATGACTCAAAGGGTAAGGAAGTACTGGAAGATTATGAAATTTACTGAGAAATATCACAGTTGTGATCAAATAAATAAAAAATTACCAGATATTTGGTGAAATTTTGCATACATTTTCAAAGATTGTTCTAAGCGGTTCTGTGAGTGCCATTTTTTTCTAATTGCTCCCCCTAAAACCTTATGAAGATCATAAAAGTGACAGAAATTCTCACAATTGGCTCTCATGCACGTTCTAATACATCCTCTGAAGAATTTTTTTTTAGAAAAGAGAAGTAACAGGAAGCAGCATCATCCTTATTATGCATAGCTCTATCCTGAGGATTTTTTCGCTAGTTAGTAGAAGAATATGTCCTGATATGAAAACCCAGCAAAACAAGGAAATTGTAGACATTCAGAAAAAAGCACAGAATATTTAATGTGTCCAGGAAAATTATTACAGTATGTGACAATTAAGCTCTGAAGTAATCAAGAAGATAATTACTCCAGGTCAAGCACTCTGAATGAATCCTGCATTGATGTGTATAAAAGCTGATGGCATAAATAGCGACTGGATCCCACTGACCCAGAGGACTGTAATTTGTTCCATTTAGCCCAACTAATTTTAATTGGACTGTGCACATGAGCAAGAATTAGGGTGAGCAGGATTAGGCTGCAAGTTTACTAAGGGCTTCAAAGGCTTTATTTTAACAGCAATAAACAGACCAGCTTAAGAGAATAGGAGGGTCATTGTGATTCTAAGTTAGATGGAAAGTCCCATTGGCTTAAAAAGAATGACCACTGCAGCAAGAATTACATGCAGAATAAAAGTCTTTATTCCTTTAAAATTAGATTAGAGCCTAGAACCATTTTTATGCCACGTTCTTGTCTGAGTCTCATAAACAAACACCTGAAGCAGTCTCATTTAAAGGAGGCTCAAACACATGGAAATTTAAGTGTATTTTTGAGTGTTTTTAAAACTTTGTCTTACTGCATCACGGGAAATTTTAGCCCAGAAGGCTACTTGGCATAGTAGAAGGATCCCAAAAGTTATGGTGTTTTTTTTCTTTCATTTTAATTTATATAAGAGGAGATATTAAAAAAATGTAAACACTGTGCTGCAGCTCAAAGCTCTGTTATAAATACTTTGTGACAGTGCACTTCTGGAGCTGAATATGAAAACGTGCACTTCACTGGGGAAGAGAACAAAGGCAGCTGTACTTCAAAATGAAGGCACAGTCAGTACAGCTTACTTTTGATTAACACTCCTCAGTGTCTCTATCCAGCAGCAGACAGTTTTGGTGCTAGCGCTAATCAGTTGTCTAACCTTCTCCTCTAAAAACTCTGAAAGTCAGAAATGAAATGGAAATGTTAATGAGCAGCATCACTTTTTTTATAAGTCTCAAGGTTACCTTACTTTTGTACACTGCGGGATAGGGATGCACCAAGTTTCAGTTACAGCTATGGCAACATTTTTTTTTTTCCTAATGGAGCTCACTTGAACAAAGACTCAGCTCATCAGGCGTGCCCATGAGGAGCTAGGAATGAGCTGGAAGAGGGTGCAGAGACAGGTCATGTCTGGTTCCCACACTACTGTTCAGACATTAGGTGTGGACAACGTGGGCAGGATGTGGTACAAAAGTTACTTGAATTACTTGTCTGAAGCCTGACAGGTGGACCTGACAGATGCCAGTTAGGTGAGTACCACCCAAGGACTTGGTACTTTCTCACACAGCTTTTACTCTGCAGGATTGATGCGAGCACTCACCCTGCAAGTTCCCTTTGGTCTCCTTACAATCAGGTTTGGGGTTGTTTTTCCTGCCCTCTTTTTTAGGGGATAACACTTGTACTTTTACTCAGTGCTTGCTTTTCTTTTTCCCCATTGTGAACTGTTTGCAAACTTCTGTTCTGATGCAGAAACCCAGCACTAAGACAACATGGGCTACATATGGTAAAGGCAACATCTCTTAGCCGGGCAGGACCCACGGGAGTCACTAGGACCACAGCCAGGAGCCCTCTGAGTTCTTCTGGGGACCCCAAAGCCATTCGACACAGACCACTTGGATTTCTTTGGCACAAGTAATTTCAGAGGTGCTAGGAGTAGAAGAGGCTTGAATCTAGCCTAAGCTCCTGGCTGCAGGGAAAAAAACAACAGGAGGGACTGTTAGCAATGGATGTGAATTGAGACGACAGTCTGTGAGTTTTCTGCACCACCTGGAGGGGGCCTTGTTCATGGGAGCCCAAAAGGTCATGCACAACCTCTCGCTCCTCACCTCACTCTACAGGAGATTGCAGAAAAGGACAGAGGGATGAATGGACTGCTATTTTACGACTAAAAAGTGATATGTCGGGTCTTCTTAAGAAATGATTCACAAGTGTCTTGTTTGGACATGGCTCTGTTCTGGGCTTGGGCCATCTTTTTTGCGCTCTCCAAGCCCTACTGACTGACCAAGAGCTACAGGAGACCACAACCAGCAGTCAAGGCCTCAGCTGGGCTAAGACCAACTACTGCTTCCACTGCTTTGGAATAACTTTTAAAAAGCACCTTTTTTAAAACAAACAAACAAGCCTAGCAATAACGTTGCTATTGGTAAATGCATGGACATTTTAAATATGTGAGATTTAGGTTTCCCAACAGAAAGTCAACTAGAATAGTTTTTGTGGAGCATAATGCTTAGGTCTTCAGTTCTACTTGACTGTTATTTTTATGCTGGAATTAAACATGACCTGACTGGCTGTATTATTTCCTTGTCTAACCAATCTGCTGATTAGTCTGATTAATTATACAATTATTCCTTCAGCATGACTAATAGTTTTGTCATCACTATACAACCTGCAGTAATGTTTAATTTCTTCTTATAAAACAACTGCAAAATGGTTGTTCTTTAGGGAATTAGTACTTAGCTACCCTTTAAAAAGTAATAAAATGAAGCCTGGAGAAGGAAAATTCATTAAAATAGTCTACAGACTCTATCTTAACTAGTCAAAGACATATTGTCCCATGTAGCAATTAGCACTAAAACAGTAAACTAACACTGGTCCTTCAAGTCTGAAATCAGATTTAGAACATCTGGGTTCATTCCAGATAAAACAGAATCAAACTGAAAAGTGCGGGGCTGCAGGTGGCTACAAACACAAATGGTTTTTAAATTGGCAAAATATCAACTTCAGAAATTAATATTTCTTGGAAATGTACATACAAAAATAATTATTGGAATAATGACATTAGGGTTTTTTGTAATAGGCTGACACTGTACTACTTTCATCTGCTTTGCAGAAGTATTTAGTAAGTCTTCTGACTATTTTTAGCTTGAAGATTTCAAATCTGAGAGGTGTTACAGTACTAACTGCTTCTCAGACAAAAAGTGCTGGGATATTTAACAGGCTCATTGGCCCCAAACAGTGAGACTGTACTAAAGAGCTGCATTTTCAGCCATTCAAGATGTAATCATCTCCTTTGCTAATGTGCACAGATACCATCTATCTGAAACCATTCTGTTGGACAGAGCGCTACAGCCATTTCTGGAGGAAAATTTCCACACTCTCCCCATTCCACTGATCAAACCGTTTTATCACACATTTTTCTCTAAGCTCCTCTCCCCAGTCCCAGGTTGATTTTCCCATTTGTGTTCACCATGACCATCTTAGAACCACTTCCGCAAGGGAGGACATAAAGAAGGTACAGCAAATTAGTCCTCATTCTTGTTCCAAAGCTCCCTCAGGCATCTAAGGTAACTGATATCTCTTTACTGAAATGCACAGGAACTGCGTTTTCTTTAGAGGAGCAGTCAAGTGACTGCATTCAGCATCATCCTTTCGTGAAATACCCTCCTGGCATTGGTCCAAAGCGTACCAGAGAGGGGACAGATAAACTAACTGCTTGCCAGAAGGAGTGATATTGGTCAATCCCAGAGCAATGGAAATTTTCCTCAAGATAAAGCCAAACCTCAAGCCAAAGTTACTACAGTTCATGGACACCCTAACAAGCACGGACGTTGTTTGAAAAAGCCGAGAGGTTATGATCCCTGGGAGTGAGCCAGGTGGAATCTATCATTTCCCAAGCCGAGCGTGCAGGGCCATGATCCCTGCAGGAATTCAGGACAAGGACTGGAATTGCTCAGCATCCTACAGCTCCTGCCAAGGCAGAGATACAGAGCCCCATTCTGCTGTCACTGTTCAAGCGAAGTCCCTGTTGTGCTCAACAGGAATTTCACTGCTGACCCCAGAAACTGGGTCATGGCTTTGTTTGAGTCCATTTGCTATTTCTGAGCAAGAATTGTATTGGAGCTTACTGTCTCCTGACATCTTCTTTGTGTCCCTCTCAACCTCTGAGGCCAGGTCCTCACCAGGTCCTCAGTATAAATAAGCTGGTAATGCTGCACCAGCTAAGAGCAGTGTTCTGGTTCTTCTGCTTACAAGGCAAAATCTTCTTCTAACGCAGATTTTTTAATGTATGTCTGCTCAGGCATTAGGTGTCATACATTTTACTGGTTTATAAATGAGCTTAAAACCAAAAAGTGTTGCAAAATCAATTAATAGTGTGCACCAACGTAACATACAACACTACAGCAGATCTCTCACCACTTTTAAAAACTTCAAAAACTTGCACATCTAGTAGCACTCATTTCTGCTTTTCTTACTCACACTTTCCTCCATCAGGACCTGCGACACATTATTCTGGGGGCTTATCTGCCAGGAGTTTTTCATGAAGAACCCGATGGCACTTGAGTATCTGTCAAGAGTCGGGGTGAACTTCTTGAAAGTGCATTTTGTCATCCTGACAGGCCCATCATAAATCTGAAATCCACGAATAGGGAATGTCCTGTGAGATTTATAAACAAGCATAGTCATGTGTTAGAAGCTTGGGCAAACTCTGAGTCTTCTCCTGAAGGCAAAGAAAGACATTAACAAGTAACTAAACCACCTTTCCTCTTCCCACACTGGGATTTGGACACTCATCACAATTAACGAGAGATGAAACTCTGAACATCCTCTAGAGGATAAGGCTTATGAGCCAACAATAAAAATTACTCGTAAGCTTGCCTAAGGCTTGTAAGCTGGGGTAAAGCAGTTCAAAATCCTTGTCCCCAGCCACCCAGGAGTTCATCACTACGAGGAAGACCCAAAGGGTTGTGTGGCAGCATTGTCATCAGGCTCCTTGTTCCAGGGCAGACAGGTTTCTCGGGAAAACATCAGCAGGATTGAAAAAATTATGTCAATCAGACTTCCTGGAGGCATCTCCTCAGAAGTAAGTAGCAAGTAGTGCAGCACATTTTCTCCTCTCCCTACAACCTATTTCACACAAGATCCCTAGGACCTAGTCCAAAGAACGTCATATAGAAAATGTGATTTCTGCAGTATGAGTCCATGGACGTATTGTCAAGACTTCAGTGTTGAAGGAAACACCACTGAAGTCACAATTAAGGGCAGCATATGGCATACAGGCTCTCTACAGCCTGGGGGTCACTGAAACCCCGATTTCTATCCCAGCCCTGAAGTCTTTTCTTACTGGTTGGCTCCAGTTGCCAATTGGAAACACAAGGCACAAACAGTGTTTATTGATCAAAAAATTATTCTTTGACCTCCAGAGCTGTTATCCCAGTAGCTGTGTCTGGTATGACTCCTACACCCCGTTTTGCACTATGGAGTAATAAAACGACAGATATCAGACATTTTGGCATGCTCCTTTCCAAAAGTACATTGTTTAACAATATCACAGATTATTAGAGCTTGTTTGAACTGCAAATGAGCTTTCTTGCAATTGCAATTAAAATAACAACAACACCAATGTAACTGAGGATAGCTTGAGTAATTATTGCTGTCCTACAAAGATCTCTCTCTTGCGTCACCTATGGCTGAAACATAGAATCATAAAGGCTGAAAAAGACCTCTGAGATTATCTACATGTATATTTAGGGCTGCATGTGTGTCATGCCTGCTGCATACTGCTTATTACTTAATTTTATATTCCTCATAGAGGGTTTAATAACTGGTGAGCATCACCGAAAACAAACATTAGGGTAGAACTTAGGCTGGGGGAAGTACACCTTGCTATGGAGATATGGGTAGGCACCATGGTTGTTAGGCAGGAAGCTGTGCCACTATCAAAACAGAAAATAACCTACATATTGAAAGAGAAGATGCATAATGAAAAGCAGTTTCTCCTCTGTCAGACCGGCCATGTCTGCCCAGCTATGCTGGCAGGAGGGATGGCAGCAGGGTGTATGGGAGCTGTGCCATCAGCTCGATGCTGTGCTACTGAGGCACTACACAAAAGCCATTTGGTATCTTTCAGACTCTCTATTCCATTCTCCGGTGACTAATAAATTAAGCAGAGAATTAAATCAAACACATTCAGTCAAGAATGCTCTGAGAGCTGTTGGCCTGAAGAGTGAGTTTATTCAGATGCTTATTATTTCTGGCCTCTACAATAATTTAAACATCCAGTGTAAATTACTCGTTGGTAGTCACATTCATTCCTGAGGCTTTTCTTCTAGCTTACACTACCGCCAAGAAGAAATGGCAGAAAAACAACTCACTTGTTTCTGGGCAGTGTTCTGTATTCTCCATTTGCCCCTTTTCCCCAGTAGCTGTTTTGGCCTCCCTGGGAGCCAAAGTTGCTGCTTTCTCCAACAAAAATGGAGCATGTAACCTCCAGGCTGGAGCCTTCATCTGTTGGGAAAGTCCCATCGCTACAAGCAAAGAAACATCAGGTAACTATGCAGCACAGTACAGCTGATTAATTAACACTTTAATTACACCACAGACACCACAGAATTTCTTTCTTAATTTGGGAAAAAAGTGCATGCACCAGTAAAACAGCCTGCTTTAAAACCTCTTTAGAAACCAGCAAGTTAGTGCCGAGGCAGCTTAGTGCTCAGGCATCAGTAACACAGGTAATTTAGTCTGGGTAAAATGAGCCCTACCCTACATATATATAAATTCTCAGTACTGAGGAGTTGCTTTATAAATTTTTAGCTACATCCCTGAAGTAAAAGCTAGATATCACTGACTGTCATTGCCTGCAGTGGGCTTTGGACGCGGTTTATTTTTGCGGGTCTTTTGCAAGAGGGGTTGAGATTAGAGCAGCAGTAGCATGGTAGGCACCAACTGATGAGGCAGGAGACCTGCTCTGCCACCACGTGGGACCATCCCAGTCACCCTATGGGTGCTATGAGCAGCACTGCTCCACCACGCTAGAGCAGAAGAAAAGTCTTCCCCAATGCGGAGCCAAATGTTTAGTCTACCAGTTCAGGACCTAGCCTCCAAAAGGAAATATTCAGCAATTACAATGTATTCCCCAAACACGCTGAGGCAAAGAGAAGGAAAGGCAAAATTGCTCTTTGTATTAATGGCTGCACAGGGAAGACTTGATGTGGTCTGTGAGGGAAACGTGAGGCTTTCTCGTGTCTTCCAGCAATTACCAGGGAAGTGCCTCAGCATCCATTCTTGAACCCGTTACATTGGGAAGAAAGAATAAGAAGGTCCATTTTAAGAAATTACCTTGCCAGAGTGAGTCCAATTCCATTGTCTGAAAACCTGGGACAGAAGAAACACATCGGTGTAAATTATGAGAAATGTCTGCAGTGAATTTGGCCTACAGACCTATTTATGTCTGCCACAAGGGGAACAATATAACATGTAATTACAGTAACCTACCCTGAGTTGCGGAAAATAATGTCGCCGCCCCTGGCCCAGGCCCCATGGTCGTTATTTTTAAAAGCAATAAGACCATCAATCACAGCAGGAACTCGTGGCTTTTCAGGATCAGCATCTTGATGTGGGCGAAACCTGGAGCAAGGAGCTTAGTTAAAGGGGCACAGGAGACATAGCAACAGACCTTGTTTGGGCCTAAAGAAGCAATATGCTCTGGATCAGAGTCAGGCTATTAGCTTGATTTCATCTGTCACAAATCAAAAAGCAAGAAACATTCATAAGGGTGAAATTCTGTTTCAAATAATACCAACTGGCAATTTCTCAACAGATTTCAGTGGGCCCACAGCTACCCCTTAATTTGATTCAGTGTGATTCAGAGGCAGAGAAAACATTTCTCCCAAGTCACTTGGGTCCTTCTGTAATTGTCCTTACAAGGCCCATTGAGAAACCCTGGACTGATGCTAGAAAATCAATTAGGCACTTTCAAGAATTTCATTCAGCAAAGATAACAGAGTAACTGGAGCTGCTTTCCTTGCATCTACAGGCCAGAACTCCATATGCTTCTGTCTCTGCTGAAAGAGAAGCTGTCATCTGAAAAAAAGGATTCGCCCTGGGAACCAGGGCAGTTCTCAATTACTTGCAGGCTGTTTCTTGCCATGCTGACTGTTAATTGTAGATCTGTGTTGTGTTTGGGGGGAAAAAAAAAAAAAAATCACCATTGCTTTTCCTGTCTACCCTGACCTCCTACTTGTTCCAGCTGATGGACTGAGGGACATACCTCCTCAGTGCCCAAGGAGATGACCTTTTAGGGAAGCCCACAAAGTCACCCTTTTTCTTCAGCCACCCTGGAGCATCACATGAGGCATTGATAGGATATGACAGAAGAGGAAAAAAGCCAAGGGTTGACCAGAAGCCGTGGCTGATTTCTGCCACAATCTCCTCACTTAGGGCAGCGAGTGAGAAACTGGCCTTAATTTACCTGCTGCCACTCTGTGAAAGCTCGCTCAGAGATTTTAAAAGCAGCTGCTGACAAAAAGCTTTGAGGCTACTTTATTTTCCTTATTAATCCCAGACCACTCTCAGCAATCTCTTACATCATCTTTCAGATCTAAGTTCTTCTAAGCAATTAATAAGAAATGTTGGGAGTTTACAAACCCACTAATGGACTAATGGGATCTGTCTCCGCTTGCACGTGCTTCAGTGCTTAGTCCTCATAACCTCAAGCGCGTGTGTATCGTTTTTGGTCAGCAATAACACAAACAATTCAGTGCATAGCTATGAAGTATTTGCCTCTGCACATCAGAGATAGCTTGTGTAGGTTTTTGGTTTTTTTCAGCTGCTGCAGCCATAATGAGGCATTAATGATCTGCTAAGTACAATGCAGAAGCCAAGAAGCAATACAACTATCCAAAATACTTAGCCATACAGCATGTGCTCACCTGGCATTATCGACAGTGAGATACTCTCTGGGATCTTCTGCGCTGGCTCTCGTTGTCTTTACTCCTTTTCCAATAAACAAACCAGCCTGAAAACACACACTACTCCAATTACTTTAACAGAGTGCCCAACAGAGACCAGAGATCTCAGATTTTTATCAATGAGCATGGACAGCCAGTGTGTGCAGGCACAGCAAGCGCCTGCAGCCCTGGCTTTCCATTCCCTTTCGATGTCACTTGGCACCGCTCAGCGTGACATTAGCACAGGGTGGCTGGAGTCAGGACAGAGACTGCCCGGCCATATGTTATGCATCAGCATCTTGGGCTGTCTTCTGACCCGGAGCAAGGCACTGAACTCCCACTCTCTCTCCCTTGCAAAAAGCAAGGAGGGACCCTGCCAACTCTCGGTAACTTTTTGGAAAAAGAGTGTTGTTAAGAAGTAAAGCTTTCAATAGTGACGAGTCCCTTGACAGTGAAAAGAGAACATGAGCTGCTCTAGTCAACTTAAAGGCTTTGGGCTAGGGCAGCAGCTGTCATGCACCAAGATGTAAAACATGCAAGGCACAGAGAATAGCACTGATTTTGATCTAGAATCCCAAGAAATAAGTTTAAAATGTTTTTTATAGCTTACAGGTAATGTTTTCATGTCAACAGTATATCCAGGGGAAAGTTTTTCTTGGAATTATCCTTGAATTTTCAATCTCGTTTTTCAAAGGTGATGAGCAGGCCCTAGCACAAACAACTTTTGCTCATCCGCCTACAGCCTTACACCACTGTGGTCAACAGCAGCGCTCAGTGTCCTGTCTGTCATTCCTTAAATCTCACTTAGTATTAGGTGTACCTATGGCCTAGGCACATCCCCTCTAACACAGGCACTCAACTCAAGTGCTTCAAATGGGATCCCCATTCTGCTCAGCTCCCTCTTTAACCATTAGAAAGAGCATCACTCCTAAAAGTTGATTGTGTCTTGATATAGTATTAAAAGACTTTTATCAAAATGTAAGACACCACCAATTATTTGATTTTGGAGCACCACAGACAGTCAGCCCTATGGCATTCTATTATATTGATAGAAATGTATAAAAATCATCCAACGTGCCTTGAAATTGGAGTGGACTCGGTTGTTGTAAAATACTCCCAAGGGGGTATGTTCAGCCTGTCCCTCTGGATATTGTCCCTCGGACTGTCCAGTGGGAACACGGTGGAAGATGTACCATATCCCGACATCCTAAAAGACACAAACGGAGGTCTGAGAAATGGGATGTTACAATTAATGATAAGGTTGTCCTGGGGACTTAGGCTTTCCCACTGTGCCGGTCAGATTTCTAACCTGAGCCTGTCAAACGTGTGAGTCCCAGGGGATACACACCAGCCTATACTCTTATACCTCCCAACTTACCCTTTGGAATGCACCATGAGTTTTAAAAAGGCATATATTGTGGGTGCAAATCAGGTGGTTTATTAGAAAATGTAGCCTTCTCTATCCAGGCATATTGAAGACTAACATAATTTGGGTAAACATCAGAGATAACAAGGAGAGAGTATATGTTACTTATATATATATAAAATTTTATTGGGCATTTAACTATTAACCACTAGTAAAAATCAACATTTGCTACGCGATGTCACACACCATTTCCAGTCACAGTTGTGAGAGAAATCAGCGTGAGACCCGTAGGCAAATATTTGTTGTTAACAAAGGTTGCAGAAACACATATCCAGATTTTACAACAGCTTATTAAAAATTCATTTGCCTCACGCTAATGACATCAAATAGAATAGAATATATGAAAACTGGAGGCAAAGCATAGCTCTTGCCAATAAATGATTTTACCTGAGAACCAGCTGCTGCATTCTCTATTAAGTTGTTGTTTGGATTTGCAATCCAGAACGTGCTGACAGCCCTGAAAAATCAAAATCAAAATGATCCTAAGCAGTTACCAAACAGGAAAGGATACATTTTCATAGCACTGCACTGGACTTGAGCCACAACTCTCCCATTGACTTTAAAACTCCACACAACCTTTTAATGATACTCTTTAAGGAAAAGAAACCATCTAGTAATGTCAGACATATTCATTTATGGAGCCACATGCTGAACCTATTGTAAATTATATGAGACCGTTAACGCAAAATCCATGCTCTGTTAAATGCAGTTTAAGGAAATGTCTTTCTTTTTTTTTTAAGTTAAGCAGCCTTGGAAAATCGTCTGAAAAAAGAACTTCTCATTCGTTCTTTGGAACCGCAGGAGCAATGGCAGGAGGTAGGGGATTCTCTATGGATTTATGAAGTTTCTACATGGAAAACAAAACAAATGTCCTTGCAAATCGCAAACGGCTCATTAAGCAGGACATTAAGGATTTGACATTTCTTCAAGTAAGGAGTTTTTTTGCTTCAGAGTGAAGATCAGTAGTGGCACAAACAGAAGCCAGATATAGCTATGAAAACATTGTCATCTGTTCTCTTAGTCTGTATTCTGGTTTGGGCTAGGATAGAGTTAATTTTCTTCCTAGCAGCATCCAGAACGCGTGTTCTGGATTTAGTATGAGAATAATGTTGATAACATGGTGATGTTTTAGTTTTTGCTACATAGTGTTTGCACTAAGTCAAGGACTTCACCCCTTCTCACCCCGTCAGCACGGAGGCTAGGGGTGCACAAGAAGCTGGGAGCGGATGCAGCCAGGAGCTCAACTGACCAAAGGGATTTTCTATCCATATGACGTTGTGCCCAGTACACAAACTGGGGGGAAAGCCGGCCACGGGCCTCTGCTTGGGAACTGGCTGGGCATCGGTTGATGGGTGGTAAGCAACTGCATTTTGTATCCCTTGTTTTGTATATTATATTATATTATTATCATTATTTATCATTATTATTTTCCCTTTCTTTTCTGTCCTGCTAAACTGCCTTTATCTCAATCCACGAATTCTACTTTGTTTTCCTTTCCTTTTTTCCCCCTCCCAGTTCACTGCCTCATCCTACTGGGCAGGGGGAGTGAGCAAGCAGCTCTGTGGTGTTTAGCTGCCTGCCAGGTTAAACCACAACAATTTGATAACATCTTTTGCAGTAATAAAGACCACATGTAAAAATACAGTAAACTTTTCCTCATGACCTTACCAATTATTTTGGTCACTCTGAGCAGAAAATCTCAATCATTTTTTATCCACCTTAACTGTTACATAAGCAAGAATCCACCCTCCTTTGGATTAACAAAGCCACTAAATAGGTGCAAAATAAATCTGTTATTAACCATACACGTAGCCTCAGTATTTCAGCAACAGTAATTTTAACTAATTCAGTTGGATTATTTATGCAAATTAAAACAGAGTTTTAATTTATTATTTATGCACTGAGTTTGGCTCCTGCATCCTTTTCCAGAAAACAAGAAAATACAAATTGCCTTGGCTAAAAGGTGTTCTTGCTTGCAAACACTAACCAGACCAATAACTGGGTCCCCAAGTGTCCACGTTACAGTCCATCAGCCTCAAAAATAAAAGCTAATTGTGGCCAGCTATATCAGGATATTGTTTACTGTTAAATGATGCTCACTGGGGTTTATGTTATCCCTGCATTCTCACTAAATCTCCTGATGCATTCCAGATACTCATGCCCTCATATACTATTTACCAATTTTCTCTAGATTCTCCAGCCCCAGTTCAGTCCTGGTTAAAAAAAAAGACAAAACTTCTCTTTGTGGTAAGCAATATTTTTGCCAGCCTATACCAGGGCTGAAGCATTTATCAGACAGATTTCATGGAGTCTTCAACATCCTACTTAAAAAGAACTGAAAGGGATTCAGAAAGTAGCAAAGTGCTCTAACATATTTATCTTGGGGAACAGAGAGAGGAATTACCAGCAGCAAATATTCCTCACTTAGGATTCACGCAGGTGGTATCTTCACAAGGGAAACATAGTCATGCAGCTAAATTATTATATTAAAATGAGAAACAGTAGGAAAACTTTTCATTTAGTATCAAACAGCACCTTTCAAAAATTTCACCACAGCATTCCTTGGGACCCAGCTGTAAAGCACAAGGTCAGTGCAAAACCTGCCTACAGCTCCCGGAGCACTTACGTGCAGTCGGTGCTGGGCACGGGAACGTAACTGCCGTGGACGTGGCTGCGGATGGCGAGGCACATCGCCTCGCTGCGATCCGAAGGCAAGATCGTCCCCGATCTCGTGAGGAGACCTAAGTTGTGATGAAACGTATTGCGTTGCTCTGTCCCGTCTTCCAGGAAAAAGCAGTGCCCCAGGGTGTCATAGCCAATGGTGTCTTTTACCTGGAAAAATGTACACAGGCCATCAGCACTAACAGCAGAAAGAACTATAACTGATGTGCTTTACTTAGCAATAAGTTCCCAAAACACTCTGGGAGCGGTTTTGCCACCTGTCGGCACAGTGAGCAGTGCCTCCAGAGCCACTTGAGCTACTCCAGTTTGCATAACTGGGGGCTGATTTTCTTACACAGTGAACGTGCTGTTAAAATTACTCCAAGGAAGATCGCATGCATAATTAAAGGAAAATTGCAAACTGCTGGGCTTAAAACTGTCCTCAGCTCTAAGAATATCTGATTCAGTGTTGTGGGTGAGTATCTATGTAAAGGTAAGTGTGTCTCACACTATAAACCAACAAGTTAGGATAGTTAATCCAGAAATTGTCATGACTGCAATACTCTGCAAATAAAATCAGAAATCCTTTAAAATGCACTATGTGAACAAATTTATATTAACGAGCTTTCTGTTCTTTCTCCTCCACTCTCAGATGATGCAGGGCCACTTCATTCTTGCAATGATCGGCTTGGCAGAGATGGTATTTTACTGTTACGGCCTATTTAATATTAATTGACATGGACAGGGATATTGCATTAAACCTCAATTTGACCAAGGGGACTTAGCACAAGCCTCCTTTGATGTAAAGTCTCACGAAGATAAATTCAGAAATCCTTCTTTTAAATGTAAATACTAAATCCAGCTAGTTAAAATACCAGCTATTTGTAGCTAAATCTTACTGAAATCTTAACTTTGTACTCAAATGATCCCTGTCAGCATATTTATTCACTCTTCAGGCATACAAAATTCCTGTTGACGTCAGAGTTATGTCCATGTAAGACTACAAGATTAAGTAATATTAACCTATTTGGTTATTTCTGTATAAAGAGTGATACTTGAAATAAATCCATTTCAGATTCATATCCTGTGATTTCCCCTTAATAGGCTGCAACTGTACATAACATCTGGAGTCACAAATAACACAGTCCCCATAGGTCTCTCTCAACCAGATTTCATTGTTTTCCTGGCAGGCACCCCTCAAACTTGTCATCTGCTGCTCTTGTTTCTGCCCTAATGAGGTGTTCAAGAGACAGTTAAAAACGAAGTACAACACAGCCAAGTACCCAAATCCTAATGGATGCAGTTTTGGAAATCCTCTGAGACCCCGCATGCAGGTATGGTAGCTCAGAGCGAGCTAAAAGGAGGGTAACAGAGACCCTACATGTGACGACACTGAACGTGTCCCAACCAGCTGAGCCTTGGCAACACAGATACGAAATGGATTTTTTTAGAAAAAAAATGCAGATGTGCTTGCCAACCTGCTAAGAACAGTAAACCTGGTTACTTCTCCCCTTCCAAATGATGGGCAGAAGCTGCACTAAGGAGGCCATGGAAGACTGTTTTTGGAAAGAAACTGTAACAACAAACCACGTGCTGTTTTAAACAGCATTTCAGTTGTGGAGGTTTATCTTCTGAATTTAGCCAAAGTTTGGCTAATCTGTGCTTCAGACAGTTGCATTAAAAACCATCCTTGTACCTGAAATCAGATTTTATCTTTAATTAAAATGAGTAGTCACAGCTTCAGAATCACATCGCAGCCCTGAAAACTTACACGCATGCAACTGCATTGATCAGAAATAACAGAAAGGTCACTCAGATTTGCACTAAAAGATAAGGATCCATGACAACAGAACAGAACCCCAGTAACTGACCAATCCTGGCATATCACAGAGAGAAACCATGAGCTTGGAAACAAGCCCACCTGCAGCACTGTGACAGCAGCACATCATGGCACGAAAGCCCCTCCACAACACTGGCTACGGCCCCGCTGCTCTGTCCAACACCCAATGATTAAGCTGCCTCTAAACACTGAATTATATATAGTTCTGCAACACAATATAAGTGACCTTTAGGTACCGCAATGTTAGAGGCACGAGAGCAGGGCAGCCTGTGGGCGCCTGATGCGTGCCAGGGCAGCGGGTCCCAGTCTGCATCCCAGAGCAGCAGGTGGGAGATGGGGCGAGCGACCCGCACACAGCAAAGCATAAACCACAGCACTCAGGCAATGTGCTCCTAAAATTACATCCTCTAAACCATCAAGACTGGAGGCGGGGAAAACCCACCTATCTGGTTTATTCTGCCTCAAGGGCTGAAGTTTCATAATCTGATGCTAAAATGGGTACCCATCTATGTTATTTACCTGCCTTCCTCTGACACACACGTGGAACTGCAAATTATTAACTTATTTTAAAGCAAGGCCTTTTATTACATATTAATTACTCTTTATCTTAATGATTGTATTGAAACCACACAATCCTTCCCCAGAATCACATATTTAGTCTTTACTATAAAAACTGTTCACCGATTCATAGACTCAAAGCCCTCGGCAGCCACATGCAGGGAGGGCTGGATCTCATGCTTGGATTCTTGATTTCACAACTCACACATCCCACGCATCCAGATAAACCCTTGGCAACCTCACTTCTGATAAAGAGCAAGACCATGCACCATTTTTCTCAGGACCAATATTAGCATAAGGCTTAATTTTTCATTCCAGGCAGGTTCCTTCAATTCCAGAGGTTCAATACTAATGTCCACATACTGGACAAGTCTCCTGCCACCTAAGATCTCTGCACACAGAAGCAGGCTCTACAGTCAGACCAACTCACACGTATGAGAAAGCAGTAAATAACTCTGAATGATTTGGACAATACAAATCCAGTTCAGGATACATGAAAAGTCCTCCCAGTTGTACGAAGTCCAGCATCACATCTTCATGAATACATGCTTCTGAGGGGATATTTTCACAGAAGGGTCACACCAGAGTGCATCTACGTGATACCTTACACGTCCAGGGTTACAAAAATATGGTCAGAAAAAACACGGGAGGTCATGGACAGTTCAGGGAGTGTCTCTGCCTGAGCACACACTGGGTGAATGAGGAAACACCCAGACACCAAAACACAGCTCAGGGTCCTGCAGAGCACGCAGCAACTGGACGTGTTGGGACAGGAGCAGGAATCCTTCTTTTCCAGCTGAGACATGTATGGTTCCTTTGTGGGTTTTTTAAGTTCTTCTCCACAATGCCCTTGTGAGGATCTAGGTCAAAGCTACGTTCCTGAGGGCTTTTCTGGCACTGAAGCAGCCGTTTGGGTTTGTCCCTCTCCTATTTCATCCCCTTTGTCATGTGAATACTTTTGGATATATTTCACACTGCCCTGACTTGAACAACCCCATCATCTTTGCAAATAAAGGTCCATAGCTTTAGTCTGGTCCATTCTAAGTCCATTGCTTTAACTTTAAACGAAACTTCACATTATCACAAACTGTCCAGGCTAATCACGACAAAGATTTCACTACATCTGATTGCACCTTTAATAATATTAATTAGGTAATGCTAAGAACCTGAAATTCAATTCAAAGAGCTACCCTGCCAGAGCAACAGTTCTAACCTGAACACCAGTCAAACCAAGTTGACAAGTCCAGACCTTTCTTGGGGAAAAAATGCCTTGTTTCAATATTCTGATTTCTCTTTGCATCACAAATTTGTCTTACTGTTTAGCAGTGTCTAAGTAAAGAAATGAACTTGGTACTAATAAAATACGTTTCCTACCAGAAGGCCATGAGTTCCATGTATGGCAACACACCTAGAGAAGCAGTGGTGGATAGCCAGGTTATCAAGGTACGTTGGGCGTTCGTATCCTCCTCTCTCATCCACATCCTCAGCCAAATGAAAATGCACAGGGTAACTGCCCAGGATCTGCTGCCCCATGTTTTTTAATTCCACTCCCGACATGTGAACAGAGCTAAAATTCTTTAGGATCTGTCGAGACAAACGTAGACCCAAGTAAGTCATTACAATATAAATACATGCATTTTCTCTCCTCTCATTAGGCAGTATGTTTGCAGAGTGAAACAGGACCCGATTCCAGAAGGAGATGCCAGCTCCCTGCTCTGACTCACAGCAGCACAGCACCTGCAGAACACTGAGGCAACAGCTGCATGGCCACCAGGCTGCCAGGGAACAGCACCGGCAGTAGTCAGCTGTAGTCATGTGTGGCATGGCTACGGGCAACGTACTCCTGCCAACTCCAGAAAGGGGTGGCATCCACCACCAGGCTCTATTTCCTGACAATTTTTTCTCTGTTGAGTGATTTTAGGTCAGATCTGCACAGCTCCCCAATTTCCGCCAACTGGCAGTGGGGTAATTTTACACAAAACCACTGCAACAAGACTTCACACAGACTCCTCTTGCAAGTCTAGTTTTGCAAAATAGGCCATCAGATGTTCTGTTCATCATAGACAGGCATCTTTTTTCCCCCAGATGCAGTATTAGTTTCATGCATTATATTGCTTGTTTACAAGCCAGGAAAAGAGATTTGAGACCACCTACAGTCACATACATTAAAAATGTCTCACTTTAATATGTCCTCCGAATGTATCAAAGGAGAAAAACTGGCACCCATTTTGTCCGTAACAGGAGTCTTCCATTTCTCCTTGAATAAGTATATTTCTGGTCAGAAGACCAACCTCTGCCCTCATATCGACACCATCTATGACTTCTCCAACATGAAGATAAAGCGGGCTGCCTGTGAAAATCAGAAAATTTTTAAGTCAGGGTGAGCACAGCATCTTCACTGTTGAATTGTTCTAAGCACATGCACATCTTCCATTTAAGCAATCACCGAGTCTGGTGACAGGCCCATTTGTTAGTATCTGATCACAGAGGAGAGCAGCTCTTCTCTTTGCTTCAACAAATGACTGCTGCCTCTGGTCATACTTTCAAATATAATATTGCAGCCTTCAGCTCTCATGCATGCCCACATGTTTACAGGGCAAAACCAAGCAAATGTAGAGTGTAAAATACAAGACAATATAAATATTTACCACAAATGAGGAGTTTGATAAAAATATTTCATACCATCAATCTTCACTTGATTACTTTTACATTCGGGACACGGAAGGAGATTAAACTCTTCAGCCTGATGCATAGAATAATCTGTACTGGCAATGACAATTCGGTCACCAGGTAACCAACTTGTAACCTCATCCACCAAATGAAGAATTATTCCTTTGGACACTTCCACTTTAAATCCATTATGAGGCACTCCTGAAAAATGAAGCAATCAATTATTTTTAGAGTTGCGCACGACAGTATGATGCAGAAAGAGCATATCAGCTTAATTTTTATCTAGGTAACTCTACGTGTGATAGAAGTGTTCTAGCCATTAAATATGCCAGTGTCAACTCTTTGCAAGCAGCTAAAATGTTACTTTGTGAGAGCATGGCTGTTGGTTTGGTCACCGTCCACATGAGCAAAAGTATTATTATCATCCCACTGTTCAGGTATCTCAGCAGCCAGAAAAAAAAAAAAAAGCAAAGCATCAGAAGACCAGCAATTGTCAGGGAAGACTAAACCTTTTATCCATCCGCTGAAAGCAGTAACAGTAAAGCGGGTGCCATCGTAGGTGAGAAAATCTCTTTGGGCTACAGCTAATCCCGTTGTTCCATTCCCGTGGTACTCCCGTTTATCTTCTGCTGTGGAAAACTGATCCCCTCCGAGGATACCCACCAGTGCCCAGGGCTGCCTGAAGGGGACCGGGAAAAGTGAGTAACAACCTGAACCCTCCATCCCCCAAAGGCTTGGCCGGGGGATGATGGCGCAGCGCAGCACTCATCCATCCACCCATCCATCCATCTCCCGA